ACTTTCTGCATGGAAGTCTTTATACCAGGTTTCAGTTCAATTTTTTTTTCTGAATTTCAAGTAAATGGACTGAAATATTTTTATAGGTGATATTATAGTAATGTTGAAGTCCTAGGTATAGTTAGAAGTTAAACAGTCTGTGGGGTGGGAAGGAGAGATGGTGCAGTGGGTGAGAACACTGACAGCTCCTCTGGAGGACCCAGGTTCGAATTTCAGCCAGCACCATATGGCTATTCCACTTGTAATGTCAGTCCCAAGGCATCCACTGTCCTCTGTGGGCACTGTGTTAATGGGTACACAGACAGATGCAGTCAAAACGTCATACACATACAAATAAATAAAATTTAAAACATTTTTAAGGTTATAAAGCAGTCAAACATGTTAGTATTTGTTTTCCCCCCATCTTTTTAATTTAAAGTCCTTAAAGTGTAGTGTTAAGCCTTATTCATCAGCTTTGGCAGAATTATTTCTCCAGCAATTTGAAGAATTAAGTTATGTAGTGATCATAATAGCACAGGAGGAAGAAGAGTCAAGTTGCATTCCCAGCTATTTAACAGCTTGTGCTTCTTGTTTGGGGGCATCTTATAGTAAACCACCACTTCACTGCACTCATCCCAGGGGACATGTGTGTATAGTTACATTCTAGAAATGTACCTGTAGTGAGTCTGATAGTAAAAAGTAGAAGTTCCCACTGTGGATTCCAGATACTGGCCATGCTCACAGATGGACATCTGAGGTGAAGCTAGTGAACCCTGTCCCATGTTCACTAAAACACCATGTTCAGGTGACTATAAATTTGTTTGTCAGTCATCAGTAGACTGTTTTAAGCATTTAAAAATATTTACCACTGATTTTTTTTTAAGTATAGAAGAATAATTAACAACAGTGGTCGTTGCTTTGAAATAGAATTCTTAAAAGTTTTACAGTATACCAATCAAAGAATGTGACTTTTTAAAAAAAAAAATTCTGATTTGTTGGGCTGCAAGACATTGCAGGACATTTCTTTTGAACAGACAATTGAGGCATCTGTCAGAATCAACATAGTCAGTGAAGCAACACATATTTAAAGATGTGTTTCTTACTACTAACTGTCCTTTAAGGTAGCCTACACAACTAAGCTTTATAAATGTTTTGACAATTTTAACATTATATAGAAAGAATATTGTCCTTTTGTGGAAAAGTATGATTTACCTAGTTTTCTTGTTGAATGTATCGTGCATGATTTATTTTTTTAATGAAAAAATAAGTTTTAAGAGCGTAATTTAAAATTTCTAAGTATCTACTAATAAAACCATTCCACGCGTGTGTGTTCCTTGCTCCATGCTGCTGATACCAAGGTTTGTTCAGAGCTGAGGGGAAGTGAGAGGCTTGGCGAGGGCTTGCTCTGCATATGTGTGTGATATGTGTGCTTGGACGATTTATTTCATATTCATGGTCTTCACTCTGTTTTATTCCTTCCCTAAAGCCATGTGACTCTGGGTTTAACAAACAGAGACAGGTACAGAAACTCCTGGTGAAATCTCACTCACCTTACTAGGTTGTTAGATGGTCATCGGCTACCTCCTGCTGGGCTGTTGATAGATCTGTGCTCATTCTATGTCTTGGGTTTATTTCCATAGTTGCTTTCAGCCTCTGCATGGCAGTCATTGCTGACTAATCAGTTTTTAGCTTGTCTAATAAATTGACTGAAGATGTGATATTTCAGAGTGTACTGTTAATCTACTGACACCAGAAAGCAAATCCGCCACCTCAGGTAACTAGTGTTTTCATAGCTTTGCTTGAATTGGAGGAATTCTGATTAAGATGCATTTTGAAGCTTCCATTTAATGGTTTAAACAAGCTAATGTGTGCTGCATTGAGTTCTCCAAGTAAGAAAAATAAATAAATAAATTCTGACATAGGAAAGCAGAAGTGATGATCTGTTCTCGATTACACAGGTGGATTTCAAGGGCGATATCACATAAATGCTGAAGGATCAGCCTTTGGAGTCTCTGTTGCCTCTCAAAATAATATCATTAGTTTCTTTTAAGAGTTTAGCAACTTGCCGGGCAGTGGTGGCGCACGCCTTTAATCCCAGCACGTGGCAAAGGCACGTGGATTTCTGAGTTCGAGGCCAGCCTGGTCTACAGAGTAAGTTCCAGAACAGCCAAGGCTACACAGAGAAACCCTGTCTCGAAAAACCAAAAAAAAAAATAAAATAAATAAAGAATTTAGCAACTTGATAAATTTTTATATTCCTCTTTTGGTTATAAGATTCATTTAATTTTAAAGTAATTTTAGTATATATTATTACGTTAGAAAAGGCTTGGAAAGTGATTCACATTTCTCCATCATTCAAAAAAACTATTGGAACATATATAGTTTTCAAATTAGTAACTAATTGCTTGATAAAGACCAACTTACACATAGGAGTCAACTGTGATCTTCACTCTGTGGCTGAGGTGGCCTATGCGAGGTGTCAATACTTTACAGCATTCTTTCCTTCTTTTTTAAAACTAATACATTCTTGGGGTAGACACTGAAACTCTGCAGTGTCCTGTTTAACTTGCTTGGCTTTTGCCCATTAATTGATGGCCATTGATGGAGTTTATAATACAGCTGCTGCAGTCATGGTGTTTGCCTGGTGGGGATTTCTGTTTCTGCCATGTGCATTAGTTGGAATTCTATAAGGAAAAGTGTCTTCTTCCTAATTTATTTACTTAAGTACTTAGTTTTAAGGCTAAGCACGGTGGTACATGCCTTTATTCCCAGCATTTGGGAGGCAGAGACCAGCCGATCTCTGTGAGTTCAAGGCCAGGCTAGTCTACATAGTTCCAGGACAGCCAGAGCTACATAGAGAGATCTTGTCTCAAAAAAAAAAATAGTTTTATCAGTATGAATTCATGAATTTTTTTCTGTGAACTATTATAATATCATAATTTATATTTGTTGATCAAATATTTATTTTGTGATTTTATTTTTGAAGCAAAAAAAGAAAGTAAGTCGATGTAAATATATTGAAAGCAAGGACCCAAGTTAAAGGATCAGATGACATTTAAAAGATTGGTATTATTTAACAGTAAAAGGAAGTGAAGTGTGACAAGATGAATGAATGAGTCTTAAAACAACACACTGAGTGAGAATCAGACAGGGAGGCCACACGCTGTAGAAAGTACCTGCAACAGACACTTCAACATAGAGGGTTGCCAGGGACTGGAATGGTGGAGGGATGGGACTGACGCTAATGGGAGCAGTTTTTTGTTTTTTTTTTGTTTTTTAGGGTAATGCCTCACAAACTATGTAAATAAAGTTAAAGGCATTGAATTAACGTTTTAATGTGGAAGCTCCATGACATGTGCAGAGGAAATCGGCATGATATTTAAAATTCACATAGTTGAGAGTGCATACTGAAAACACTGGCTGACTTACTAGACAAAAAAGCCGTGTGCAAAGATATGAAGACCAAAGTATGGAAAGGCTGGTCTTTTGCTGTTATTATTTTAAAAGCAGCTCAACCCTAGATCATGTGAAATATGGCACAGATTATGGTTAAATTGGTGTAGTTTGTAGCAGGTCATCTGTTCCCAAACTTTGATGTACCTGTGTTGCCTTATTAAGCTCGGTAGAAGACTCATGAAGTCACTGTTCCTGCTGTCTGAGCCATACATTCCCATCTGACACACATAAGTGCATGTACACTCTTACACATGCATACACACACACATATATGAATGAACACATGCCCAAGTTCAAGTGCACACACACACACACACTCGCATACATGCACATGCACAGAAGTACGTGCACATACACATACACGGATGCACACAAACACATGTGTGTACACACATAATGCATGTGTTTGTATTTCTGAGATAGTACAATTATTATTTTTTCACATTACACATAAGTGCTAACTGTGCTTCACAGGCATTTTTAAACCATGGGATAGTGTACAGTCTCCTGGCACCAGTAAAAGAACCAGTAAAACATACTTGAAATATTTATTTACTTTTTTCCGCACCTGGCAGTCCAGGAATTCACTATGTAGATGGCTTTGAACTAAGAGAGATTCACCTGCCTCTGCTTTCTGAGTACTAGGATTAAAGGCATGAGCCACCACTCCCAGCCAAATTTATATATTCTTAAGGAGGTAATAAATTTTATTTCCCACCTGAAGAGTATGTTGAAGGCCAAACAGGGCAGATTGGAATGCTGTTATCTTTGTCCTGTATGTCAGTTGGCTTCTCTTTATCATGGCTATAGCTTCCATAACTTTCTAAAAATAGTTGGAGCAAAGCAAACAGTTCCTTAGATAACTCATTCTGGAAGCCCTAAGCCAACCTTTCCAGGCCTACATGTGCACTTCTGGGATTGAAGAGAAGCACACAGAGCAGAATCCAGTGAGGCCCTCATCAAATGTCACCACTGTGAAAGTATTAGTCTAAATAAGCTAGACATCTTGTTTTAATTTCCTTTTAAAATGAAAACAGGCTTTTATAGATTAGATCACATGACTGTTGTAGAAAATTTAGATTTCTTGGATAGTTCTAAAACCTAAGACTACCAGGGTAGCATGTAGACTGTTGATGATTGTTTGATACAGACACTTGACAATTATTCTTAGACACATCTTTGTATTCTCTAAGTGTCTGTAATTTTCTTCTTTTTTATCTCTTAAGTTCTCTCTCTCTTATTGAGGGCAGTACCTTTATTTAGTTAAGTGTAATCATTTGAGGACTTGACATAGGTCTGGGCCACAGGATGGCCATCTTACAAAAGTGGTTTAGGTCAGGCTGTCTCTACTGTGATAAATGCTGCTCTCTACATGTCAGATAGCTGAAGCTGTTCTAATCTACATGTCAGATAGCTGAAGCTGTTCATTCAGATCATTTTTCTTAAATTCTGTATGCATTGGCTGTGTTTTCTTTATTTCAGCAGTATAACTTAATGCATTTTTCTGTCACATGACCTCAAACACTTCAGATTAATGCTACTCATATTTCCCTTGACTTATCTAGGCATCCGTCCCTGCCACAGGCCCCTCACTGTTGCTGAGTTCCATGACTGTGGATGTCGTGTGTGAGAAACTGAGGCAGATAGAAGGGCTGGACCAGAGCATGCTGCCTCAGTATTGCACAACAATCAAAAAGGTGACTGTTTTTGCATCTCTGTATAGAAAGGACTGAGCACAGGAGATAGGCAGGACGCCAGGCAGCACGTCTTCACCCTGGGCTACTGCAGTGCGGCACCTCTAAGTGAAATGCGTGCTTTCTGTTTTAGATCTACACTTGTTCTTTTTTATTATTTTATGAGTAGATTAAAGAAAGAGTAGCCGAATTACAGTGCTACTTAACTAGTGTCTATTATAAGTAAAAATAAAATATCTTGGTGACAAATACAACAGCTCATTCACCATGGAGCAGAGAGCATTGAGCCGCTGCTCGTACATCCATTACCTTCAGCTACACACAGTATGCGTCTCTAACCTGAAACCTCTGGAATAGGAAACTTTTTTGAGCATGGAAATCAGTATAAGTCAGGTATCAGAGCCTTTTGGTTGTTAGACTTTGTGCTGGACTCTCAGTGAGTAAAATTCAAATGAATATCCCTTCCTGAGTTGGAAACACTGGACTAGGAAGCAGTTTTGGTCCCAAGCAATTTGGGGAAGGATACCTGGCCTGCAGTATGTGTTTGTGTGACTTCATAGTAATTATAGAGTGAGCTTCATTTCCCGCAAGCTGTCATTTTGTATCATGTACGATTTATGATTGTGTCGTGTTTGAAGAACCATATAAGTTGGGCTTGCAAGGCTAAAGCATCCATGAAGGGTTTTTCTTCCAACCTTTATATTCCAGAGTCTTCCCAAAGCTGAACAGTTATAAGAAACACATTGCCTATGTGAAGTCAACTTTTGAGTGCGAGCCTCTGATGCTTGTGTTCTTTAAAGAATTACATGCATTTTTACGTACAGTTTTACTGACCTAAGCTGCATTTGGGCAGGAGTTTAACACGTGCCCATTCCCTGTCTGTCTCTGTCAGTACCTCCTTACCACTCACCAGGCCCACTCCTCCAGGCAACTGGCAAGTATCAGGAACGTCTGCTCCTAGTCTGCCATGCACGGGTTCTGGATGCCTGTTCCTTTGAACTAACTTAGAAGTGGAGCATCTTACCAGTCCCAGACACAAGTGGCTACCTAATTTCACCAGTTAGTAGTCAGATTTTTTTTTTTTTTCATAAAATCAGAAGGCCACCCTGTAATTATGCTACTGTTTCTCATTTAAGTACAGCTAAAATTACAGGGATCCAAAAAGTTGAAGCCTATTTTTATCATAACGTTAACGGACTGGGAAGATAGTAGCTGGACATTCTATATCCACTAGAAGTGGAATTGGCCTGTTAGACACACTTCATTTAGATCTTCGCAACTAACACACTCACAAGCCTAGAAATCATTTTTGCTTCCAACAGTCGTGTTCATTTTAATATTTTCTCAGATTATAATAGAAAAAATAATGGTTTTGAAGCTGCCCAGGACAGAACAAGGGGAAACATTTGAGAGTCTGGTTGGTCTTAAAGTGTGGTTTGTTTCACTGAAATGCTTGACACTTAGGAAATGTCAAGTGGTTGGTGTGACTGATATACTCATCTCATTCTATTGCCTGGGGAGATGGTTGCTCAGAGGGCAGCCACTCTGCGAACGGAACAGAAGCAGACCTGTAATCACTAGTGATCCAGAGCACTGTAGATTATGTTTTTGTTTTCACTCAGGCAAACATAAATGGCCGGGTATTGGCTCAGTGTAATATTGATGAGCTGAAGAAAGAAATGGCTATGAACTTTGGAGACTGGCATCTTTTCAGAAGCATGGTAAGGTTTTTACAACATCATCATACGACAGCACTTTATCCTACTGTGTAAAGATGTCTGCAACATTGTACAAACCCAGAACTAAGAAGTACTGGCCAAAAGGGATACATTTTTCATATTAATTTTTAAAAACATTTTTATTTTGTGTGTGAACTTGTTTTTTTTTTTTTAATTGAGATTAAACTTGTATTATGGGGAATAGTTACAACAGCATGTGGAATCTTGTCCTTTCTGAGGAAGAAGCAATTCACTGGTTTCCCATGCTTTTATTTAGCAAAACGTGCTCTCCTTGAGCAGTTCCAGGTGAGCCACTCCAAGCTCTCTAGGCCCCCCAGCTTCAGTGTCTGTCCTTGTCTAGTGCTCTGTGGTAGGCAGCAATACACAGGAGCCACTTTAGAAAGAGCCTAGCCAAGCAAATACGGAGACAAAGTGTGGGACAGAAACTGAAGGAGGGGCCATCTGGAGACCATTCCACCTGGGTATCCATCCCATGTGCAGTCACCAAAGGTAGACACTGATGTCATGCCAGGAAGTGCATGCTGACAAGAGCCTGATATAGCTATCTCCTTAGAGGTCTGCCAGAGCCTGAAATACTCAGAGGCGTATGCTCACAGCTTATCATTGAACTGATCAAGGGGTTCCCAATGGAGGAGTTAGAGAGAAGACTGAAGGAGCTGAAAGGGTTTGTGGCCCTATGAGGAGAGTACCAATACCAACCAACCAGAGCTCCCAGGGTCTAAACCATCAACCTGGGAGCACATAGGGAGGGACCCATGGCTCCAGCTGTATATGTAGGGGAGGATGGCCTTGTTGGGCATAGGTGGGAGAGGAGATTCTTGGTCCCATGAAGGCTGGACACCGAGTGTGTGGGAATTCGAGGGTGGGGAGGTGGGAGTTGGGGGTAGTTGGGGGCATATCCTCATAGAAGCAGGAAGAGGGGAATGGGATAGGGGGTTCCTGGGTGGGGGGGTGGGAATGGGGTAAGGAGATAACATCTGAAATGTAAATATAATATCCAATAAAAAAAAAAGAAAAAGAGAGTCCAGCTGCAACACGAGCTCACCCTTGGTGCTCCTCTGGTTCCCTGTAGTCCTCCATCCACTCCCAGGTGAGGTCTCATCACCCTGGCTTGTCTTCAAAAATCTTGTCAAATTGGTTGCCCAGAATCTCTTGAAAGCTGACCTTCCCTACCTTCTACTCCCTGACTCTGAGCATCTGCTTGCAGCTGGTTTGGAGGACTGTTCTGTAGGGAGGTCAGCATTCCTGTCATTGTCATTCTTGTTGCTTTCTGCTGGGTTCTGGGTTCCTTTACGTGCTCCAGTTGAATTTTGGTTCTTAAGTTTTAAAAGTTGTACACTAAAATGCTGAAACTTCTTTTAGTATTGTTAATAGAATTAAGGTAAGATTTGTCATAAAGTCACTGGACCATCGTAGTGGGAAGTGTGCCTTCTTGACCCTATTGCAATAGCTGTACTGTACTTTATCCTTAGCGCTCTCTGAAGCCTCTGTAATGGGCTTTGGCAATACAGATGATGATTCTTCTTCTCCTAAGATCTTAGAAATGAGAAGTGTGGAAAACCAGGTGGTCCCTGAAGACCCACGTTTTCTTAATGAAAACTCCAGTGCCCCAGTTCCTCATGGGGAACCTGCTCGCCGCTCTTCTCACAGTGAACTTCCCCACACGGAGCTTTCCAGCCAGACCCCCTATACCCTGAACTTCAGCTTTGAAGAACTGAACACACTTGGCCTAGATGAGGTAGCCCCACGGCACAGCAATCTGAGTTGGCAGGTATTTATCTTGTGTCATTTTTCATATAATTGGAGATTAAAGACTGCAAATATGCTGGTGCTTTAAAACATTGAGAGAATTATGATTGAGAACCCAGCTGGGCAAGAAGATGGACCATCTACTCCAGGAGCTGGGTTTATTTTGAAGGGGGGGAATCAGCAAAGTACAGGAGGAGTTAAGTTGTTCAGAATTGAGGAGAAGAGAGATGTCCCAGAAAACAATGGCAGGAGAGCATGAGTGGGGGCTGGGCCTGCTGCTGCACGCCTTTGACCCCAGCGCTCTGGAGGCAGAGGCAGGAGGACCTCTGAGTTCAAGGCTAGCCTTGTCTACATAGAGTGAGAATGGGACTGTATAAGGGTGGTTGCAAACTTGCCTTTCTTTTGGTATTTTCATGTGAGATATGGTAATTATCAGGCAAAGTGCACCTATATGGAAAACTAGCATCCTGCTGTCCTACTGACACCTTCAGTTTGGTTTCCCTCTGCACACAGGAGCACACACTACACACCACACTTTCTCACATGTTGCTCAGGCTGGCCTTCAACCCCAGGGCTCAAGAGATTCCCCTGCCTCAGCAGCATCCTCAGTGCTAGGACCACAGGCCTGTACCACGTTTTCTGTTGAGATGTTTTTAGAGAGGTGCAGGCTTCAGGAACAGAAGTACAAGTGAGATATTCATGGGGAGGAGGGAAGAGTAAGAAGAAAACGAGAGAACCAGAGCAGGTTGCAGAGGAGCAGTGAGAGGCCTAACGGCAGAGTAGCTATGTGCTGGGCTGAATGGGAAGACCAGAGCTTGACAGGTGCTCTTAGGAGGGCTTTTGTCTAGCAGTGAAAATATGTTTAATTCTCTCCATGCTGTGTACCTTAAGGGCAGAAGCCATTTTATTATTAAATACTGACTATCACAAGAATCGCTTTACAATGTGCTGAGTTCACACTTGGTCCTTCAGTCTCTTTGTTCCGACAGAAGCAGTTCCTTTCTTTTCCAGCTTTCTGAGAAGCTGTTCCTCCTTAGCCCACTGCAGGCGCTTCCTTCCTCCTGTGACCCTTCCCAGTCCCACAGCGGCCCTCACACTCACAGTGCCCTTTGAGCTTAGCCTTTGTCAGGTCCCTGGGATGGTGAGATGGCTCAACAATAAAGATACTCGCTGCAACCCAGCGACCTGAGGTTGATCCATCGATCCATCCCTGGTACCTACATGCTTTAAGGAAAAAAACAACTCCTCAAAGTTGTCCTCTCACCTACACACACACACACACACACACACACACACACACACACACGCATGCACGCACACATGCACACATGAATGTAATAAAAATTTATCAGGGCCCAGAAAACTTTTGCATATGTAAATTACTATAAATAAATAGAACCTGAAATGTTTCTAAATATTTTTAAGTAACTATATATTAACATGAATAATATTTTTATAAAACAAAAAAGTCCAGTGAGACTACTAGGTCCCTGGAGCTCTCTCCCTTCCCCTCCTGTGACAACACACACACAAATGTAGCACTGGGCACTCGTGTGAATGAAGGAGAAAAAGCACATGTCCTGCAGAGTGCCGTTCAGGACCCATGGGTCCCCTGCACAGGGCCACACAGCATTTGAGCACAGCTGCATTAGTGGGTAGAGGGAGGCATCCTGTTGGACCTCCTCAAGGAGACAGACACTGTCTCCTTTCCAAAGAAAAGATGCTCTTCCCTCTGCCTTTCCTATGGTTGGTGGATCGTAAGCTCTCTTGTTGCTGCTTCTTTCTTTCCCTGCTTCCTTGTTCTAATCTGTACTTTTACTTGATCACACCCTTCTAAGATCTAAAGCAGCTGGGACCTTAAAACCCAGTATTAGAAACTGAACTTAAAAGTTTCCCATTCTGCCTCCACTGGGGTCGGCCAGCCCACAGCTTCCATTGTGGTTCATTGCAAACCTTTGTTATCCCCGCCCCCTCCATTTTGAGAACATTTTCTTTCTGTGGATTAAAATTGGACAGGAACTTCCAATTTTATCAAATAATTTGAGACAGGTTTCTTTATCATACCTTAAAGACTTTGTTTTCTTTTTGAGATCTCTCTTTATTTCTTCTTTATCTCTTCTAAGAGGAATTCTTTCTAGAAGGTGCTTTTACCTTAAATAAAACAATTTGAAATTACTAAACACAAATGCTCAGATGACCGCTATAGCTTGAAATTGTTCTTTTAAATATAAACAGTAAACTAATGTTGATAAAAATTTATAAGCTATTACAGAATTATTCATAAACTCATAGCTTTTGTAAAACTGTTAGGTGGATATTTTAAAGACCCTAGGATTGTGGTAACTTTTACATTGTTAGTGTACATATGTGTTTCCTAAGCTGATGTTTATTATGTCTTTTCCCCCTTCTTATTTGAATTCTTAAATTTTTTTTTTCTGTCTTCACAGTCACAAACTCGCAGAACCCCAAGTCTCTCGAGTCTCAATTCCCAGGACTCCAGTATTGAAATTTCAAAGCTTACTGATAAGGTGCAGGCTGAGTACAGAGATGCCTATAGAGAGTACATTGCTCAGATGTCCCAGTTAGAAGGGGGCACAGGGTCGTCAACAATAAGCGGCAGATCTTCTCCACACAGCACATACTACATAGGTCAGAGTTCTTCAGGGGGCTCCATTCATTCTAATCTAGAACAGGAAAGGGGGAAGGAGAGTGAGCTAAAGCAGGAGGATGGGCGGAAGTCATTTTTAATGAAGAGGGGGGATGTCATAGATTACTCCTCATCAGGGGTGTCCACTAATGAGGCCTCACCCCTGGACCCCATTACTGAAGAAGATGAGAAATCTGACCAGTCAGGTAGTAAGCTACTGCCAGGCAGGAAATCCTCAGAACGGCCCAGTCTCTTCCAGACAGACTTGAAGCTTAAGGGAAGTGGTCTGCGCTATCAGAAACTGCCCAGTGATGAAGATGAGTCTGGTACAGAAGAGTCAGATAATACCCCACTGCTCAAAGATGATAAGGATAAAAAGGCTGAAGGCAAAGCAGAGAGAGTGGCCAAGTCTCCAGAGCACAGTGCCGAGCCTATCAGAACATTCATTAAAGCAAAAGAATATTTGTCAGATGCCCTCCTTGACAAAAAAGATTCCTCAGATTCAGGCGTGAGATCCAATGAGAGTTCTCCCAACCACTCTCTCCACAATGAGGCGGCAGATGACTCCCGACTGGAAAAGGCAAATCTCATTGAGCTTGAAGACGAGGGCCACAGTGGGAAGCGGGGGATGCCACACAGTCTGAGTGGCCTGCAGGATCCAATTATAGCTCGGATGTCCATTTGCTCGGAAGACAAGAAAAGCCCTTCCGAGTGCAGCCTGATCGCTAGCAGCCCTGAAGAAAGCTGGCCTGCATGCCAGAAGGCCTACAATCTAAACCGAACGCCCAGCACTGTGACTCTGAACAACAACACTGCACCCACTAACAGAGCCAACCAGAACTTTGACGAGATAGAGGGAGTCAGGGAGACGTCCCAGGTCATTCTGAGGCCTGGGCCCAGTCCCAACCCAACTGCTGTGCAGAATGAAAACCTGAAGAGCATGCCGCACAGGCGAAGCCAGCGTTCCAGTTACACAAGGCTCTCGAAAGATGCGTCGGAGCTGCATCCAGCCTCCTCAGATAGCACGGGCTTTGGAGAAGAGAGAGAAAGCATTCTCTGAGGAAAAGACAAGTGAAGTAGCGTTGTCCTGCCCGAGGACAAGAGTGTCATAGACTCTGAGCTGACCCATCCCCATTATTCATCACAGACACCTGACAGGTGGTCAGGCACGTGGGGAAGCGAGAGGACGGTCACCAGTCATCTCCATTGTCACCATCATCACGGGCACTTTAACGTCTCACTACCATTGTTCTGCCCTTTCTTGGCACACAGCTATGCAGAGTGATAAGAACAGGCTGAATACATAAATAGGTCAGAAGTATATTTAAAGTTGAAAGGGCTTATATCACAGGGAAAACGTCTAGAGATCTCCTTTATAAACTAGTCATGTAACATTTGAGGGAAGATATAGTGTTAGATGAAGCAGAAACCAGTTTCGCTGTTAGTGTTTAATCTTGAGGCAGATTTATAGGTTTTAGAGTAGCTCAGAGACTAAAAGTGAATACGTAGCAAATGGATACCGAGTGTTCTGTATAAGAATCATTGCTTTTAAGAGGTCTTAAAATTTAAGTAGAAAATACTAAAGAGGGCGATAAACGTTGATGAGAAGGTGAGTTAGCAGAACCAACGCAGTGGCCTGGGCCGTGTTGAACGTTAGCAGAGAAGGTGAAGAAGGACAGTATATTCCTGGATACTCTGTCCAGACCCAGGCCTGGCTTCCAACACCATCCACCTGTGCCCTTACAACCGTCTTAGTCTGTTCTGCAACTCTTAAGTAATACACCTAACTTAGCTCATGGCTAAAGAAAAAAAATTTTTTAGTGGTACTATGATTAAACTCAGGACCTCACAAATCTAAATTCTGTATTGATTAGCTACATCCCCAGCCCCAGGCATGAGTCCTTCCTCCAGATACTTGGGAAGACATGGGTATAAGAGTCCAGTAAGCTCTTAGTGAAGGTGTTGGGGAGTTATTCCGTTAAAGGAGTTAGAGACAGTGACACTAGACAAATGACAGTATTTAGTTTGCTAACATTAAATCACTGCCTTCTGTATTGCAATAGTTAATGTATCTGTTCCTAAATCAGCATTTTAGTTCTGGGGAGAAATTATAAAAAACGGAGTCATGGTTTTAAAAAGGAATTTGAAAGCATACAACAAAACAAAGACTGAGTCAGAGCTGGTGTGATCATGGCACTTTGGATTATTCTTAGCAAAGCTAGGAGAATGACCACATACATTTAAGTATCATGTAGGCTAGAGGTGTGCCTGCATCATCATGCATTGAGACTGTTTTGTCATTTGATCATAGCGTGTTTGAGTAGATCGGTTCTAGCGGTGTGTCCTGAGCATGAGTAGGACGGTAGACGGTGGTGTTGCAGGCTTAGTGCTCGTTGAGGTGTCCATCACTGGACTGTGTGTTCACTTGACACTGTGCTGGCAGCTGCTCTGTGTTTCACTGCCTTGCTGTTTGAGTGTAATTAAGCATTTTCATGAAGTGCATATGTTGCATGATCTTTAACAGGTATTTTTAAACATGAAAACAGCACGATGTTACTGATAGTATGCATTAGTAGTATGCAATGTCATGTAATGGGTACTGAGAGGCAGTTTGGGTTCTCTCCAGGTGAGTAGTTACAGCTCACAGTTCTTTATTCACTGTCTGTGAAGTCAATGCTGGAGTGCCAAGTGCACACAGAGACTAGGAACAATAAAGAGTTGCATGCCATCCTGACTCACGGAGTTTTATTCACAATAGCAATGATAATTCCCATTCTGATTAAAAATTAAAACATGGTCTGTGTGTCTGTTTTGTCCTATGACTGGAGGATGTAAAGACTTATGGGACATGAAATTGACAGAATGTTCCAGACAGCCCTTACTGTCTTTCTGAGAGAGGTTGACTCTGAAGCCCCTGTGCCTAACTGATGCCTTCTGGAAGCACAGTGTCCCAGAGCTCGTGGGCACCACAGCACTGAGAAGTCCATCTCTGTAGCTAGAGGCAGACGGCCCAGATCCCTGTAGAATAGCAGCTTATTACATGAACCTTCTGGTCAAACTTGCTTTCTCCTACTGATACAGAACATGACAGGCCAGATGGATTCCTGAGTCACCATTATCCCTGAGTCTGCATGTCAGTGTGTGTTTGTGTCTATAATGCATAGCTCAGTCTGATTCATGCACAGGAAAAACTGCAGTAAGCTGGATGAAATAATAGACGAGTGAGCCTCGAACCCTGCCAGTCTTGTAGACTCTGAGCCACTTGGTTCCACCTGCAGCCGTAAAGGCTGAGTTGACATAGCATCCTAACACCCACACCATGGCCTTCTGGAGGGTCATTTTCTGAGTACATCTGCAGCCCTGGCTGTTGTAGAACTCATTCACTCTGTATACCAGGCTGGCCTTGAACTCAGAGAGCCACCTGCTTCTGCTTCTCGGTTCTGGGAGTAAAGGTATGAGTCTACTTTACCAGTCCTGGATAATTAAGGATCAAGAATCCTACACTATGGATTTTAAGCTTCGCTGAGCATAGTAGTCCATGCCTGTAATCCCAGTACTCAGGAGGCAGAAGCGGGAGAGTCAGATGTTCAAGGTCAGCCTTGGCTGCATAGAGATTTTTCAGGCCAGCCTGGGCTGTGTGAGACCCTCTCTTATAGAACTAAGAATGTAAATCCGAAATATTTTCAATAAGAGAACTTGGTTTTATGTGTTAGTTTGTGGAGGTTTGTGGAGGTTTGTGGAGGTTTATATAGTCAGGATAATCTTAACTGCCTAACCAAAGTTGTGTTTGCTTAAATACTCATCTTGAGAACTCAGGCTAATTCGCATGTTCTAGTGCTATAACAAAGTAATCTATGATCATGATTTTTTTTATACTAATCATTAGAATTTTTTTAATGAAATTAAATCATTTTTTTGTTTTGGTCTTGCTAAAATATTAAATTTAAAAGGTTTTAAGACCACATAATTTTTGGTTACACCAGGAATTCTCAGCCTCTTTAGAAATATCCCTGAATTAAAAAAAAAAAGTCCATGAATTCCTGGCAAACTCCTGAATAGATCAATGTACTTACCAGGAAAAGAGAGACTAGGGCCCCCTTTAATTTATGGGTGAATGACCTTGAAGGATTAGGTAGAAAGGAGGTTGTAATCAAATTAACATTTTTGGCAAATATGTGCTATGGGTCCCATCCTGCCTTACCCCCCATCTTTCATGGGCTTAGCAGACACAGCAGAAGACCCCCTCCTGCCTGGGGTAGATGAGCTGTCTGAAATGAGTACCCCTGGGCACTCAGGCTGAAGCCTAGGCTGGAGTTACACCAGTGAATTGAGAACTAGAGATTTACGGATGGCAGTGAGCAGGCTGTGGACAGGGTTTAATTGGCTCATCACTTGGCAAAGGTTGAGAATCCCTGGTTGAGACTAATTAAGTAGAAAGAGATTTAAAGTCTTACGTAATGTTAAACCCTTTCCTGCCTAGGAAGAAAATGCCGCCTCTGTGCTAGATAGACAGCGGTTCAGAAGATCCAGTTTAAACTGAGGTATGTAACAAACTAGTTTTCCAAGTAAGAAGTGTTTGGAACAGTTGCTAGTTAACCACTGTCACTCACATGGTTGAAGAGTTTTTAAACAATCAGCAAACCTTGCTGCTGTGGGATCCTGTCTCCTAGGACTGTCAAGCTACACCTATCAAGTCTCACCAATCCATGGCTTCCTCAACATGAGTTGAACAAGGGCAGTAGGTTTGCCAAAGTGGATTGGGGCCTGGGAGGGAGCTCATGAGGCCTCAACCCTACACAGAGCTATAGGAAACTAAGGGATGCTGGCAGTAGGCGAAACGGTCTTAACCAGGAAAGAGTACACCAGTTGTTCACCCAATACCAAATGGACAGCCCTGAAAACATAAGTAGTAATGTACAGACTGAGCAGTTATGTGTGTGTTTAGAAACATACATAGCTATATGTATGTAATAATAGTGAAAAGTAGAAACCATGAGTTTGAAAGAGACCAACTAGAGCTATATGGGGGAGTTTGGAGAGAGAGAAGAGAAGGGGAGAATGATATATATTACCTCAATTTTAAAAAAGAAGAAAGTAGCAAACCACAGTCCTGATCTCAAGGTCTGGCCGTTGGCCAAGTCAGGTGCTGTGGGTGAAAGACTTCCCAAGGACATTCTAGAACTCAGAGCTGAAACCCTTTCTGAAAGGGACCTCAGTGGCTGAAGGATGGATGAGCATTGTTCTGGTCTCCCAGGAAAGTGAAGCATTTTGAAAAGTGATAAGAGAGGTGGGTCAAGAAGGATCGACCCCTCATCGATCGACCCCTTCTTGACTCAGGAAAGGGTCCCACCCCAACAGCCCTAAGAGAAAAATCACAGACCCTGTAGAACGCCAGGGCTTCTCCCACACTGCCATTGCTGCCGAGGAGCTCTGCTGACAGCACCAGCAGGAACCAGCACTTGAAACCTGAAGTGTGGCATCCACTGGTGTGTATTGCTTTTGTGCCTCTGTAACGCTAAAGTATTAGTAGTGAAGGGCCATCTACATCCCCAGAAATACCAAAGTGTGGGGTCTGAACTGAAGTGAAGACCAACATAAATTAGCAAAAAACTGAAACACAACACAAATGTACAGTGTTTTAACACTGTGTTACTGTTTCAAAACAAAATATTCTGCATCTGCCTGTGGTTATGGCCTGTGGTCACTGACTGACAGAGACTAACTCTCCAGTCCTTACTCTGCAGCTAAAGATGTCCTTTGTAGTGTTATTTATTTTACTGCAGTCTAGCAAAGCATGGACTGGGCATATCAAACTGAATTATTAAACTGTCAAATGTGAGTGTGTGAAACCATATTCACAACAGAATGCCTCCTTTATTTAAGTTAAGAAGCTGTTTGAGGCCTTAATTAAGGTCTTGATTATTCGTGATCATTTTCCAATTTTATCGTATTTACCTGTATTTACCTCCTTCTCTTTCAAGGCAACAAGGGCTCTAGAACCTTAGTATCTGCCCATAGACCAAGCAACGCTTCTTTCTCATTCTCCTGACAGTTCGGTTAATTTTCCCAGCTGGCTTCCTCACCATGTATAAGAGGGTGAAGAAGACACGGCCACCACTCTAGCCAGAGAAGAAATGTGTCACCTTAACCAGATTTATCTGTTCTGTGTAATTGTAGGATTTAAGTTAGTTTTTAATGAAGTATTACTTTTATGAGATTTTAGGCAAAAGCCCAATGTATAGCAAAAAAAAAAAAAAATGTAAATAATCCAGCCTCTCCTCTCATGTCCTGTAGCATATTCTTGGTCAGATAACTAATAAAACATAGATATTTTCAAAATTGTCACGGTCCTTATACTTGCAAGTTGTATTTCTTAGAACTTTTAGAAGGCATGCTGTTTTTACTTAATGCAAATTAAACTACTTTATTTTGAAAGAGATTATTTTCTTTTTGGATTCTATGTTTTCTCCATGTTTTGCCCATGTTTTTTCCGTCTTCTTTTGTCTGTGTTTTCTTAGAGGCTGCATTATATGCATCCTATTTTACAACAAGACATAATTAGCACAGCACCTCGAGAAGAAACTTCAGCAAAACTTTTTAGAAAAACCTGATTTCAGATAACCCAGGACCGTAGGCAGCAATGTCTATAAGTGAATAAGGCAGATCTAAACCAAGCTAGTAAAACTGCCAGAGTCTGCATGTGTCCTCCATAATGTGTTACGAATACCCTGCTGCCCTACACCTCACCACAGTTCCTCATAGGCCTGCCTTCTCCCATTTGTATACCTTCCCTGTCACCTATATGGCCTCAGTAAGCTTCTCTGTTTATGATTCCAGTGGTCTTTCAAGATGCAATACCAAGCTTGATTAAAAATTCCCAAAGATGGATACCCACAGCCCTCCGTGCTAGACCACATCCTTTTAATGTGCTAGGCAACATGTTCTGCGCGTGTTTTAAGTCCTCTTGTGCACAGTAAACCCTTGGTGTAGTGGAGATTCCCATCTCATGCACCAGTGTAATTCTAGAGTCAGACTAAATTGGTATTTCTGTACTTCACATTAGAATCTTGAAAACTATATTCAAGTGTGACTTAGCTGTGGTGAACCACCGATTCAGGTTTATAGCTACAGTGAGTCTGTTTAATGTCAGGACCACCACAGTGCCCAGCTTACCTTAGCAAGCTTAGAACTTAACTTCAACCTTTCTTTCAGTGGGTTATCTTTAAGGACCACCCTCATCCACCCATCATTTGCCATCTCAGACCATTCTGATTGCTTGACCTATAGGGGCTTGCTGTACTAGGATTCCATATTTTATATGAATGAGGGATTATGCATTGTTTGAAGATCTCCTTACCATGTGTAGCAGGCATATCTTTCTTAATATCAATTCCCCAGTCTCACTAACCAAATGCATTGAGTTTCAGTTTTTCAGCTCTTTGAGAGTTCTGAGTTCTATACAATGTATTTTGAATCACGTTTGCACCCTCCCAGTCCTTCTCATATCTTCTTGTCCCTCTCTATCAACTCTATGTTTTATCCTTTTTTAAAAAAATATTTTAAACCTTCAAGACAAATTATGCTGCCCAAAATAATCTTGGATGTGTGGCCTTCTACTGGAATGCAGTCAGTTTATCAGATGCTGAACTCTCAGAGCAAACTGGCCCTTTATTTCCCAGAAGCTAATGAACTGCCAGTTGCTCCACCGTTAGGTGTGGGATTGTGTGCCCAATTCCCTGCCCCATGCTGGGATTCGGTCTGACTTGGACTTGCATGGGTTTTATACAGACTGCTGTCTAAACCACTGTGAGTTCGTATGTGCAGCCTCCCTGCTGTGTCCAGAAGGTGTCCCTAGAGTCATCCATCACCTCTGTCTCTTACACTCTTTTCAGCCCCTCTTCTGCAATGATCCCTGAGTCTTGGGAAGGGAGTGAAGTGGTGTGTGTGTGTGTGTGTGTGTGTGTGTGTGTGTGTGTGTGTGTGTGTGTGTAGTGTCGCATATGTTCCCGTTAGGGTTGAATACTTTGCAGTCTCTTATTCTCTGTACCTTGGTCAGTTGTAGGTCTCTGTCGACCACCACCTACTGCAAATGAAAGTTTCTCAGATAAGGGTTGAGAGATACACTGCTTTATGGATATGATGAAAAATCACTAGGAATTGGTTTAGTACTGTGTCTACTTAGCAACATAATAGTAGGTTCTCCCCTAGACCTATGACCTGTGTAACCAGAGGTTAGGGCACTGTAATGGTGCCAGGTATAGGTTTCATATTGTGGAACTGGCTTCAAATCCAGTCAGAAAATGGTTGGTCACTGTCGTGGTTTGAAAATGCTTGGCCCAGGAGTAGTGCTACTTGGAAGTGTGGCCTTGTTGGAATAGATGTGTCACTGTGAGTGTGGGCTTTAAGACCCTCATCCTAGCTGCCTGGTAGTCATTCTTCCACTAGCAGCCTTCAGATGAAGAACTCTCAGCTCCATCTGCACCATGCCTGCCTGGATGCTACCATGCTCCCGCCTTGATGATAATGGATTGAACCTGTAAGCCAGCCCCAATTAAATGTTGTCCTTTATAAGAGTAGCCTTAGTCACGGTGTCTGTTCACAGCAGTAAACCCTAAGACAGTTCTCATAATGTTCCTGCCACTATTGCACCAGTGGGTGTGTCTTGCCAAGCCAATCACTGTTGCAGCTTGCAGATGAAAACAAGCCACTAGAAATGTATCAACTTGATTCCATCGTGTTCTATGACTCAGGCACATGGCGTCTTCAGCAGTAGGGTCATACCATCACAAACTTCATTTATTGTTCATGTTACCTAAGTTCACATAAAAACATAGCTTCATTATCTTGTGGCTCCACCATCCTCAAGGCAGCAGAGCCCTCTGGCCTACCACATATTTGATCAGTAATATGGCCGAGAGATGCTAGGGATTAGCAGTGAAGAGTGAGCTGTCCAGCTTGCAGTGTTATGAATGGTACTTTGGAACTTTTATGCACATCGGCTTCTCCAGGCTTCCTCCTGGTAGGAAGTTGGGTGTGGTTCTGTGCCCTGAAGGAAGATCACAGTGAGGTGAGCTCAGAGATACGACTTGTATTACCCCTACAGATGGTGTCTTCTTGCATTAAACGAACAGGAGTTAATTCTTTGTGTTGAGATCTTTTAATATTTTACTTTGGTACAAATTTTATTCTGATAGGAAAGTTAACTATAGTCCTAACCTCTGACAGGAGGACTGTCTGGGGGTTTTCAATCAGCCAGTTCTACCCTGGTTTTGAGAAGTAGGGAGCAGGGCAAGAAGATTTAAGAAGGCTGAACAGAGCAAAGAAAGCTTTACAACCCCTCTAGACCCTTGCCATTTAAAGCACTTACGACACCAGACATAATGTGCTTGGTTTGTTGTTTTTTCGAGACAGGGCTTCTCTGTGTAGCCCTGGCTGTCCTGGAACTCACTCTGTAGACCAGGCTGGCCTTGAACTCAGAAAACTGCCTGCCTCTGCCTCCCAATGTGCCACCACTGCCCGGCAATGTGCTTGGTTTTTAAGAGTCAATTCTTGAACCACCTCCCCAGCAGCAACGACAACAGTCACGTATGGGGCTTCTTATACCTGCAGATTTGTGGATTGTGCGTCTAGCTATTAGGGTAAACAGAAAGTTTGTAGAGAGATACTGGCCTGAGTGTAACCATTCACAATGAGCTTTAAGAAGAGAGAGAGTCTCACAACCAGGTCAGCTATGACCAGGCTTTATGTCAGACAACCATCAGAAGAGAACTCCCAGAGGAAACATGATGTGAACTTGAGAAAAGACCCTTCCCTTCAGATTCATAGGGGTTGAACTAGACACAGACACCATGTATAGCACAATGGGCTTCCTGAAGAAAGGACAGAGAATGGTCTTTCCTTCTTTCTCTTTCCTTCCTTTCCTTCCTCTCCTTCCTTCCTTCCTTCCTTCCTTCCTTCCTTCCTTCCTTCCTTCCTTCCTTCCTTCCTTCCTTCCTTCCTTCCTTCATCCCTCCCTCCCTCCCTCCCTCCCTCTCCCTCTCTCTTTCTTTCTATAAATTATTATTTAATATAAAAATTTATATAAATAAATGATAATAACAAATCATCATTTATCTATTTATATAAAAATCCTTAACAGGTTTTCAAGAGGGGAATCAACCAACTTCCTACCATGTGATCTAGTCTGGCCCGGCCTATGTGTCCTTGCTACAGAGGCAGGTCCTAGACAGGGCCATAAAATGGCAGGCTCCCACCTACTTTAACTGCCCTAGAACCTGACTGTAGCATAGCTACCCAACAAGAAAGAAGATAAACTCTAGTGCCTGAGAGTTCCTGTCTAGGAATTGAGCTTCCAGTTTTAGAAGGCAGTAGACAAGTCAGACTGACAGCACTGTTGTTTGTGAACAAATCCTTCTGCTGTCTGATGTCATTGACCACTTTCCAGGTGTTTGAATTTCTTTAATTCTGAAATTCCCTTTTCCCCATGTTCTGGCTTACACGGTATTACAAAATGTCCTACAGCAAGCAATGTCAGTGGCAGCATTTTCTTCTTCTTAATAATTCCTAAAACAATAACACACCCTGTCATTGATGGTACCTTGCTTAGTTCAGTGAGCTATTGTCCTCGTATGTGGCACAGCCATGTTGAGCCATGTCCAGCTCCCTTGGACCCCCTCCCCCCTCCAATCCAGTGCTTATGTCTGGTATTTTAGCAGTTACTCCTCATCCCGTATTCATTTGGGTATTCATAGAAGTACAGAGATGGCTTGTAAGAAAAATAGCTCACCTTTGTGCCTGGCAGCATTCTAAGACCTTGTCACATATGAACTAATCTAACGTCACGACAGCCTCACACAATTGTTTCCACTGCCCTCAGTTCACAATAGAGAAACAGAGACAGCTAATGAGTCACACAGCTCCGAAGTGGGAGAGCCAGAGGCTGGATCCATGAACGAGGCCCTGTAGTATGTTTGCTACCATGTATGTTTTATTGTTCTTTAACGGGTAGGGACCAATTACTTCTTATGTCCTTCCAGAATGCATTTGATTTAGCTTTACCTGTATGGCATCATCATGAGCTCTGCCTTCTTGCTTTGAAACAGAGTTTGAGACTCTCAAAGACATAACTTAGAAAGGGAAGGCTCAAAATCCTATCACCATGTAAATTATATTTTTTAGAACAAGAATCTTAATATCTTTAAATCAAACTAATTACTGTGAAATATTTCATTTTTGTTAAAAATGTATTGGCTCCATGTTGCTGTCCTGATATTCTTCATGCCTTAGATCAGTGCATTGCAGCTTGGATATACTCTATCCTGATGTGCTCATCTGAACTCCGCTCCCCGCTCTCCTGCTTGCCAACACTTCCTCAGTACTATGTATTAGACCACAATTCTAAATGCTACTATACTTTGTGATGAAATATAATAATGCC